AGGAGTTTGCAGCGACGGTGCGGATGCTGGAGAGCGGCGTTCCATCCCAGCCAAAACCAGCGCCTCCGGATCTGCCATCAGCGAGTCCGGCGGCCTCCACCGCTGCTCCTGCTCTGATACCATCTCCCGCTCCTCTCCTCAAGGTCGCACCGACTCCTCCTCCTGCTCCAGCTGCTCCTACGTCTCCCACGCCTCCTCCCGCACCCACCCCTCCATCCTGCTCCCCCTTCCCTCCCACCAAGCTGGTCATAAAGCACGCCGGCGGCGGCGCCTCCGTCTCCTGGTCCAGCAGCTGTCCTCCGGCGGTGCCACCGGCCAAGCCGGTCGCTCCGGCGGCATCCTCCTCTTCGTCGTCGTCATCATCGCTAAATTCCCAGTCGGTGGCGGATGATGACGATGCTCTTCCACAGCGAACCAGCAAGCCGCCCATCAAGACGTACGAGGCGCGCAGCCGGATCGGCCTGAAGCTGAAGATCAAGCAGGACCAGACCGGGTTCAGCAAGGTGGTCCACAACACCGCCCTGGATCCCGTCCACGCCCCCCAACCTCGTTCCACCCCGGAGCCGCCGCCGGAGCCCGCAAAGACCCAGCACCTAGCCACGCCCCCCAACACCGTCATCAGAACTCAGTCCCCGACGGCGTCGGTCACGCCCGCTCAGAGCAACCTCAGAAACGCTCCTCCGTCGTCGTCGACAACGACAACGCAGATGAACGGCTCGTTGGACCACCACCCGGTCAAACACAACCCGGCGTCGTCGCAAACCACCTGCCGCCTGCCGCTCAGAAAGACCTACAGGGAGAACATCAGTCCCCGGGTCCGGCCTGGCGTCCCCGGCGGGCTGGACGAAAGCTTTTCCTACCCCATCACCACGCCGTCGCCACCGCGGCACGAGGCATCCACCCCGCCATCGGAACGGACCGTCATAGCGAGCGTGCGGGTGGAGAAGCGAGACAGGGAGGCGGACCCGAGTCTCGAAGGCGGACGCTTGGGGAACACGATGGACAAAATGAACGAGGTGTTCAACCGGAGCGTGAAGACAGCGGCGACCCACCACCATCTTTCTCTGCTGCTGGACCGCGAGGCGGCGAAGGAGAGGGAGGACGAGCACATGGACCAAGACGCTGACAAGTTCAAACGGTTCAGCGGGAAAAACAAACACAGGACTGGCGGGACATTCAGAATGGACCAGCACGCACCCGGACCGCCATCCCCGGAGTTGTCGTTTGCCCGAGACTCTCTGCTTCCCGCCAAACGCTGCAAGTCGGACTCGCCCGACATGGACAACGCCAGCTTCTCCAGCGGCAGCCCGCCAGACGACTCGCTCAACGAGCATCTGCAGTGCGCCATCGACAGCATCCTCAACCTGCAGCAGGAGCCCGCCGTGCGCGGACACCACGTCCGGGCCGGCGCCGGCGGCAGGACGCACCAACACCAAAGTCAGCGCCCGGGAGACTCGGCGGTCTCCACACACAGAGCTCCGCCCCCGACGGCGCCGTCCGCTCCGTCGTCGTCCTCGCTGGGCCCTCAGGTCGGCGGGCGGGGCCACAACGGCAGCCTGGTCCCCCAGACTCAGAGCAGATAACAGGCCCTCAACCCCAGGCTGGACTGACCGGGGTGACGCTGCAAAAGGGGAAAGACAGGGGGCGCTGCACTGCAGAAAACACTCATTCTGACCACTTTTAGTCTGGTTTCTGCTGCAGTTCACCTTAAATAAGATAAAACTAACTCACAAGTAACTTTTCAGCAAATACTGGAGCTTGTTTTAAGTCAACAGTTCTTGAATATTGATATAAAATATTTTACAGGCAGATTATTTAATTTAAGATAAATTTTTTTTTCCAATGTTACAATTAATTAATCTGCCAGTGGAACTAGAATATTAAGAAATTATTGACTTAAAATAACCTAAAAAGTTACTTATAAATTAGTTTTGTCTTATTTCAACTAAACTGAGATATTTCTACTAGAAACTAGACAAAAATACGTGGTAAGATTTTGTGTTTTTGCAGAGTGACAACAGTTACTCTCCTAAGCTGTGTTGACTGTGTTCACTGTAAAAACACAAACTCTGACCAAATATTTTTTATCTAGTTTTAGTCAAAGATCTTGGCGTGCTTGAAATAAGACAAAATTTACAAGTAACTTTTCAGCAAAACATAGGAACTTGTTTTAAGCCAATAATTCCTTAATATAGATGAAAATTTTATAGTTAAACTGGCAATTTTTTAATTTATAATAAAGAAAAAAATGTCTTGTTATAAGTGAAGTAATCTGCCAATTCATTTTATTTAATCAATATTAAGAAATTATTTACTAAAACGTGGTTCTATGTTTTGCTGAAAAGTTAGTTTGAAGTTAGTTTTGTCTTGAATTATTCCAAATAAATGAAGATCTTGGCAGATTGTTTCATTTATATCATGGGGAAAATATTATAAGTGAAGAAATCTGGATGTTTTATTGTTTTGAGCCAATAATTAAAGAATTATTGGCTTAGAACAACCTCCCATATCTTACTGAAAAGTTACTTTGTCTCATTTAAAGTGCAAGAAGATATTTGCAGTAGAAACTACACCAAAACTATATGGTAAGATTTTGTGTTTTTGCAGTGTTTGTCCATTTGAATTGTCCAGACATTTCTTATTTTTAGCCCAATTTATGGATTAAATGTGGCGAAAGCAAAACGGTGAACCACAGACCTTTATCACGCCTGCTTTTGTATGTTTCTTTTTTCCCTCTTCTTCATGTTTACATTCCTCTAACTTGTCCCCAGGAGGAGACTCTGTCCACTCGTCTGGTCGAAACGGCGTCCTGTCGAGCATCACAGAAAAATAAACTGGCGGGGGGCCTTAATGCGTTCCCTGCACCTTACACATTTGACTCTTTACCACAAATGCAAATGACACACTTTAACTGCAGGCCACAGCTGTATCCCTGTAGTTACCTTGGTTACAAAACGAGGAAATGATTTCAGAAACTTTTTGTTTTGGTTGCTCTCTAATGCTGTAACACCAAGATGTCAGAATGTAAATTAACTCTGTTCTTTTCCGCGCCTAACGACAGATTTCACCAGGTTTCTGTTTGTCTACGGCTCATGAAGTTAAAGCATTATGCATTTCCGTCAGCAGGGGGCAGACTAGTTCTGACTTTCCTCATTCTTTCAGCTTTCTTCAGCTCTGTTCCTGTTTTTAGTTTTATTTCGAGGCCTGGTGGACAATTCAAAAACAAACACAGCACAAAAACATTTAAATGGAAAAAAATGGAACAATAATAATGTACAAAAAACAACCCGGAAGAGAATTTGAAGTATAGTATTACAGATTAATTTTTGTATTGTATTTATTGTGTATAATGACACTTTTTAAAAAGAAATGTACATTTAGTAAAACTGTAAATTAAACCTCGCTTCTTTTATGAATCTTTTTGTGTTCCTGGTGATCTGTGGAGTCGTGTAAACCAGGTAATCCAAAAATATATAGCTAAGGCTAATTTTAGCAACTATTATGGGCATTGTTTTATTTTCTTAAATAATTCAACTTGAGTTTCATTATTTTATTGTAAAAAATTACTTTAGCCAACTTTACTTTGCAGAATTGTTTCGAATAGTTAGTGTGTCTTCAACCATGAACAGCATTTTAGGGGTCATATCATAGCCTAAACTTTGACTAAACCTCTCAAATACTGTAATTTTCTAATTTTAGCTTATGTTTACTCTGTAATCAGAGATCTCTGATTAGATTACAATTAGAAAATGCATTTCTCTTACTCTGCTAGGCTGCAGCTAGCAAAGCCTGTTGTGAATCCTCAGGCTAGTTAACATAGCCACTGGTGGCAGCGAAGAAACGGTTTTCCTGTAACAGTGACGGCTTTAATAAATATGTAAAGAATATATATTTTCTATAAAAGTTATATATTTAACACGCTAATCACAGGTATTCAATTTCGTCTACGATTTAATTTAGGTTTTTTTTCTGACAGGCAAAAGTTTGGGTCACCCGCATAATGCTACTTAACGTTTTTTGTCAACCGCCAATAAAAATCAAGAAAAGTCTGGAAGCTATCGAACTAGTTGCTAATATAACTCTTGCTAGCTAGCTTTTTTTCCCACCGCAATCATGGGTGAGTGCAGATTTATCGCTAGTTAACTGGACTACGTTCATTTTCGCCACTTGCTGCTATGAGTTAATAAAGAAAATGTATATTTTACAGTGTGAGAAGCACAGAGGTGGACAGAGTACTTCAATTTATTTTTATTGAAGTAAAATTAAAAAAGTATTTGGTAAAAAAAAATCTACTCAAGTACTGACTTACTGATCAAAATGTCAATCGTTTAATATTTAAAGATTACTTCATCAGCCTGACCACAATTATGTGCAATTTTTTTAATATTTCAAAGACCAAATGATTCTTATACATAACATAGTTACAAAATAACAAAATCAGGCCAAAGAAATGTTTTTCCAAATCAATGTGTTTCAATATAAAACTATGCAACTTTAACAAAAACTACAGATGTGTATCTTAAGTAAATAATTCATTTTTATTGATATTAAAACAGTTCCAGTTCCACTGGCAGATTGTTTTACTAATAACAGGACATTTTCCCTGTTAAGAGTGGGAGGGGAAAAAAATCAATATTAAATTAAACAATTATTGACTTTAAACAAGCTCCTATGTCTTGCTAAAAGTTAGTTATATGTTACTTGAAGTGTAATAAGATATTTGCACCAGAAACACACATAGTTTGTGTGTTTTTTGGATTGTAATGGTTGAATCTGTGCGTTTCTTGGTACATAATAAATGTTTCCTCCTCCATTTTGCCACCAGGTGGTGCTTCCACAGTGAGTCTACAGGCTCTACAGTGTTTAAAATACACATTGTTTCATGTTTAGTAGAGGAAAACATGAGCATGAGGTCATATGATTTGAAATATGCACAAGAATGTTGTGTCATTTAGAAGAAAAAAAAAGAAAAAAAAAACTCCACCCAAATAATTTACCCCTCCTCTGAGGATCCACGCCCTCTGGTCACTCCTCTGCAGAACGTTGGCGCTCAGTGCCCAGGCATCCCTGCAAGAGAAGGAGGGTCTGTCAAACTCAAACAAGCAAAGGGAGAGAAAAAATTTCCCCCAGTGAGTGCTTGCCTCGTGTTTTTCCAGCCAGCAGATCCAGAGCTCATCTGAAATGTATTAAACCCTGGAGAAAGAAGGATCCTCTGTAATCTAGCCGACGCTCCGCAGAGGGATCCTACGTGTAGCAGCGGCTCTTCTGTCTCACTCTCAGGGCGAATCAAGGTGTTTTGGGAAGAATCCTCATCGACTTGGTAAATTCTGCATTTTAAACTTCATATCTTGCATCTAATCCCTCTTTTTATGATGAACCTTTCCGGTTTTAATAGAATTATAATTTTTCTGCTTATCATTATTGCAAAAGTTGTTGCTGCAGCAGGTTATAACTGTAGTTTCTTGTTGTTCCAAGTCCAAACATGTGTTGCAGTTGTGGTTCTGAAACCCACAAGGCATTTTCCACCAAACTGACTCCAGAGTCTCAACCAAAGTTTGGACTTTTCTGCTTGGCGATCAGATGAGATGGCAACCTTTAATGTCTCTCTAGAGTTCGCCATTTTGACTCTTTCCACTGTGGTCTTGTGACATGTCAGAACTGTGTTCCCTCTTCTCCCCTGGGCAAAAAAAAAAAAAAAAAGGAAAAGATGAGTTATAGCCCTGCTGGCCTCACCTCTCTGCTGCCATAATGAGTTCAGTTCCCAACCCTGAGCTTCTGTTTATGTAAACTCCAGTCAAAAGATCACGTTTGAGGGTGAAAACTTTGAAAAGCTGCACCCTTCCTCCACATCCATGCACATATTTGTGGGAGTCACAGCAGATAAAAGGAACGTCTTACTCATTTCACTGTAAAGAAATGAGCTGTGCCTGTGCAAATCCCTCACATTTTCCACCGAGAGCATGATGTTTCTTTTTTTTTTTCCAGGCGTACTCTGTACTGGAAAAACTCAAAACCTTACCAAGTATTTTTGGTTTAGTTTCTAGAGCAAATATTTAATTACACATGAATATCTTTCTAAAAGTAAGCTTTTTAGAAAGATATGAGATATTAAGTAAATAATTCCTTAATATTGATCAAGAAAAAGTTATAGTTCTAGTGGCAATTGTTTTAATCTGAGATGTTTTTCCTATAAATGTAACTTTTTTAGTGAATATTAAGGAGTAATTTACTTAAAACAAGCTCTCAAATCTTTCTAAGAAGTTACTTGTAAGTTGGTTTTATCTTATTTTAAGTTTACTAAAACATTTCCACAAAAACTAGACAAAAATACTTGGTAAGATTTTGTGTTTTTGTAGTGAACAAAGCCAACATGGCTTGGAAAGTAAGTACACTGCAAAAACACAAAATGTTACCATGTGTTTTTATCTAGTTTCTTGTGGTAATATCTTAGTACAGTTGAATTAAGACAAAACTAACTTACAAGTAACTTTTCAGCAATATACAGGAGCTTGTTTTAAGTAATTCCTTAATACAAAAAATATTATTTCCACTGATAGATTATTTTCACTTAAAACAGGAAATATGGCTTTTAATAATAAAATCTACATTTTTAATCTGTATTTAAGAGGTATTCCCTTAAAACAAGCTTCTATTTCTTGCAGAAAAGTTACTTGTAAGTTAGTTTTGTCTTAATTCAAGAGTACTAGAAACTAGACAAAAATACTTGGTAAGATTTTGAGTTTTTGCAGTGTTGGCAGTCTCTAAGACTGGCAGGTCTTCATCACCAGCTGCTATGTTTCCCATATATATTACCTGCTTTCTCTCTGTCTTTGGTGCACTTTTCAGGGGTTAAAGGTCGTCATTGTTGGAGCTACTTCTTCGGTCCTATCATTCCCCTCGCTGCGTACCGAATCCATCTCAAGCACAAAGTGAGCAGCTTTCACATAAACACAGGAAGCACCTGAAGGCTCAGACAGGAATTACAAGCGTCAGAAAATGTCTCGCTGGGGGCGTAAAAACGTGAAGAAGGCGCCTGAGGTGATCCGCACGGTGACAGAGGGGCTGAAGTCTCTGTACCGTAAGAAACTGCTGCCTCTGGAGCAGTACTACGGTTTCCATGACTTCCACTCCCTCAGCCTGGAGGACGCCGACTTCGACAACAAGCCCATGGTTCTGGTCGTGGGTCAGTACTCCACTGGAAAAACTACGTTCATCAAGTAAGACCCTGCAGCTTCGCTGAAGATACAAATGTTACAAAAACACAAAATCTTACCAAGTGTCTCAGACTGCGATCCAGCCCAAATATCTTACTACACTTGAAATAAGACAAAACTAACTTAGAAGTAACTTTTCTGCAAGAAATAGCAGCCTGGGTGTGCTGTGGTGGTGCAGGGCCAAAGCATAACCCAGGTGTTAAGGCCTTAGCCCTCATGGCGGTGGTTGCAGGTTCGATTCCCAGTCTGGCGATGTTTTCTGCATGTCTTCCCCTTCTCTCATTACCCTCCTTCCTGTTGAAACTACTTTTAAATAAAGGCCATAAGAGCCAACAAAAACTTAAAAAAGTAGAAGTTGGTTATAAGTAAATAATTCCTTAATGTTGATGAAAAGTACAGATTTCACTTATAAACATAATTTTTCCATATTTTAAGTGAAATAATCTGCCAGTTAAACTAGAACTTTGTATCAATATAAGTAATAATCAACTTAAACTCTTATTTTTTGCTGAATCGTTACTTCAAGGTTGGTTTGGTTTCATTTCAAGTGAACTGAGATATCTGTACTACAAACTAGATCAAAAATACTTTGTAAGATTTTGTGTTTTTGCAGTGTGGTTTCATTATTTACCATCATATAAAAATACTGAATACACACAATGAAATGTGGTGGCAGCATCATGCTGTGGGTGCCGTCTACACATCTAAGAAGTTGTCTCCTCCAGATGAGACCATATATATATATATATATATATATATATATATATATATATATATATATATATATATATGTCTTTCTTTTTTGAAAACTAACACAGGATACCTTCCAGAACGTGTGTGGTGAAGCACAGTAGTGGCAGCATCATGCTTTTCTTCAGTAGTGACAGGAAGCTTTTCAGATCTGGGTATGGCTTCACGTTGCAGCAGGAAAACAGCTGTAAGCTGCAGCCAGAACTACAATAGACTTTATATGTAATATCATAAGATTTATATGAAATCATATTCATGTGTTGGAATGGCCCAGTCAAAGTCCAACACAAAACTGCAGTTGTGAATCTTGGGCAAGCCTAAACAGTTTTCTTCACACATCAGAAATCAAGAATTTTTTCCTTATTCTCAAGGGGAAATTGCTTATTTGTTGACAGTTACTCCAAGAATATAAAATAATAAAGAAATACAAATCAAAGCATCAGCATTAAAAAATATAAAGCATCAAATTATAACCAATTTAAACATGACACAAATATTAAATGTATTGTTCTTAAATATATATTTTACTTTAAATAAAGTCTAAAACATATAATTTATATAGGTTCAAACTAATTTGAAGAAGCTTGAGCAAACCAAATGTATATCTGTGAGAAATAAAAACTGAAACACTGCAAAAACACAGAATCCTACCAAGTAGTTTTTATCTAGTTTCTAGTGCAAGTATCTTATTACATTTAAAATAACACATAACTAGCTTAGAAGAAACTTTTTAGCAAAATTTAGGAGCTTGTTTTAAGGTAATAATTCATTAATATTGATGAAAAAATGCTTGTTATATTTCACTTAAAACATGGTAAAAATGTCTCTTTTATAAGTGAAATAATCTGTCATTGTAGCTAGAACTAGAATTATTGTCTTAAAACAAGCTCATATTTTGTCTTATTTCAAGTGAACTAAGATATTTGCACTAAAAACTAGATTAAAACTACTTGTTAAGATTTTGTGTTTTTGCAGTGTTCACAGTGACACACCTCTTTCTGCTGATCCATCAGATAAACAAACTCCAAACTTTGTGGTTCTGAGTTGATTAAAGCTGCAGACGTTCATTAGTTTCCCAGTCAGGATCAGCCTGATGTGAACGGTTCTGCGTGTGACGGACAGGTATCTGCTGGAGCAGGATATTCCCGGGAGCAGAGTGGGCCCTGAACCCACCACGGACTGCTTCACTGCCGTCATGCATGGGGAGGTGGAGGGTGTCATCCCCGGGAACGCCCTCATCGTCGACCCCAACAAGCCGTTCCGTAAACTCAACCCCTTTGGAAACACCTTCCTCAACAGGTGAGGCACGCAGATGCTTCTATACCCTCAGGATTTTACAGCATTTCCACTGAGAGGGAGGGAGTGTGTGACATACTGGTGAGGAATGAGCGGAGTGTGTGAGTGTGTGTGTGAGGAAGTTTGTGGAAAGTGTTTTAGCTCTTTGGTATTTCAAGAGCTTGTGCCAGATTTCGGAGAGAGGCGCCCCCCGGCCTTATTTGTGGAAAAAAAGGGAAAGACAGAGTGAGTGGGTGATGAAAGTACGCAGTTTAAGAGGCAAGGTCAAAGGGCGGCACAGCCCCGCAGGGAAAAGACAAACATTTATAGCTACGCTGCAAAAAAAAACATCACAAAACTTTACCACTTATTTTTGTCCAGTTTCTACTACAAATATCTTTGTCGCCTTGAAATAAGACAAAACTAATTTAAATAACTTTTCAGCAAGTTGTAAGAGCTTATTTCTTATTATTGATTAAAAACATAACCACTGGATTATTTCACTTATAACGAGACATTTACATTTTTTCAGTTCTAAATTCAATCTTTTACATCAATAGTGAGGAATTATTTACTTAACACAAGCTTCTACAGCTTATTATTTCAACTGTACTAAGATATTTACCCCTGAAAACTATGTTAAATCAACTTGGTTTGATTTTGTGTTTTTGCAGTGTAGGATAATAAGAAGTACTATCTATTCAAATTGAGAGCTGCCACACTGCAAAATCACAAAATTTTACCAAGTATTTATCTTAGTACACTTGAAATAAGACAAAACTAACTTACAAGGAACTTTTTTTTATGAACATATAGGAGCTTCTTTTAAATAATTTCTTAATATTTATTTTAAAAAGTACTAGTTCCACTGGCAAATTATTGTGCTAACATGAGAAAAATATCTTGTTATGAGTTTCACTTTTTAAGCAAAATTAAATAATTATTTACTTAAAACAAGCTCCTACAACTTACTGAAAAGTTACTTCTCAGTTAGTTTTTTCTTAATTTCAAGTGTACTACGATATTTGCACTAATAACCAGATAAAAGATATTTGGAGAGATTTTGTGTTTTTGCAGTGTAGAAGTTATTTCCCCTGAAACTCGTCTTCTGAGCTGCCAGTTGTTAGATCTAAATGCCAGCAGGAGTTCAGAGGGGAGCAGAAAGACGTCACAGGAACCAGCAGCGCTCCTGCTAATGGGAGCTCCGTCTGATGCGAGTTTTCCATCAGGGTCATGTTTGTGAAGAAATCTGCGTCTCCTTTTGCGTTGACTTCCTGTCTTGGAAACCGGAGGGGCCCGTTAAGCCTTTAAAATGCAGGAAGTGGGGTTGTTGTTCTGAGCCCTAGATCGTTAGCAGATCTTATTGTTTGATTCTGGCAGTGATGGTCATTTTCCTTCAGGAAGCCCAGAGCAGCAAGGCCGGCCTGCACACAATGGGCCGGCTGGGTGTGTGTGTCGGATCTGTGGCTCACACTGACTGACCTCTTACCATTCTCATTTACTTTAAAGAGGATCTATTATGCAAAATTCACATTTTTACACTTCCATTTGGGTTTTTACTGCTTCTAGAAGCAGCTCAAGTGGTTAAAAAAAAAAACCACGGGTCTGTTTTTTAGCGATAAGTTAAAAGTTTTTTGGTGACTGGAAAATTAACCGTTTCAAAAAACGTTGGAATCTAAAGTCACCAATCAGCAGGCACTGCCTGTTACCTAGCAACCACAAGCTGAACTCCAGCACCTTTGGTCAGCTGGTTTTACCCCTGTACTCTACAAAAGGCCAAAATGTTACCAAGTTTTTTTGGTCTAGTTTTTAGTGCAAATATCTTAGTACACTTGAAATAAGACAAAACTAACTTGCAAGTAACTTTTCAGTAAGATATGACAGCACATTTTCAGTCAGTTGTTCCTTAATATTTATGAAAAAGTTCTGATTTCATTGGCAGATTATTTCACTTATAACAAGACATTTTCCCCATGTTTTAAGTAATATAATCTGCCAATACAACTAATATGTTTTTTTAATCATTATTAAGGAATTATTGACTTGAAACAAACTCCTATATCTTGGTAAAAATGTTACTTGTAAGTTAGTTTTGTCTTATTCCAACATATTTACACTATTAACTAGACCAAAAACCATTTGGTAAGACTTGGTAAGCTCCAGCACGTCAGGTCAGCCTACAACTGTATGCGCTGTACAATGGCTGCTGGAAAAGACAAGTGTTTTGTTGTTGACTTACCATCCAGAAACTACTTGATGCATTCTTGTTGGTTGTGCAGACGGCTCTACTAATGCTTTTCAAAGATGTACGATTGTATAATTGTCATCTGTTTGCAGCCAATTTTACTTGTGAGTGTAAACGTTGAGTTAGGGGGCGTGGCCAGCAGCAGCTTATTTGGATTTAAAGAGAGGCCCTGGAGCAGCTAAAATCTCATTCTCTAAAAACGATTTATAGACCGTATATTTATCCTAACCTGTTCAAGGAAGCATAATAGGTCACCTTCCAGCTTCTTCTACTGTATTTTTACCCCCATATTGTGTAATTCTCCTCGTTTTGACCTGTCGTCCAGATTCCAGTGCGCCCAGATGCCCAACCAGGTCCTGGAGAGCATCAGCATCATTGACACCCCGGGCATCCTGTCCGGCGCCAAGCAGAGAGTCAGCCGAGGTGAGCGGGGTGACAAAGGTGAGGAGAGGGCATGAGGTCAGGTCGGCCTAGAGAGAGAGAGGCGTATCTGCGCTCATCAGCTCATAAGCTCATCTCCTCGTCAAGCCTGGCTAACTCATGGGATCGGTTTGTTCCACCACCAATAACACTTGGCAGCAGGACTCACAAACATCCCTGCAGCACATCGAGCAGCCATAAACTCCTAATTAAGTACATCTGGAAGAATGCATTGTTGAGAAATCTCTTCCATCATCTTCATCTTGCATTCATTTATGTTAACCCATCCTGCAGCCGAGCCGTTCTTCCTGCTAATCCTGAGTGATTCATCGCTAGCAGTCGGCTTCACCGCTGCCCGTTTTGTTTTGTGTTTCTTTTGATTTTTATCTGAAAGGGTACAGGTCTACGTCAGCACAATGCCAGGATGGAGAGACATCAGCAATGACTCCATAAACTGTTTTAAATACTTCATTCCACCAAAAAAAAGAAGCAGTGCTTTTTCAAATGTAAATATCAAACTGAAAATACAACATTTCCTGAATAAATTTTAAAATTATTTTTTTTTTTGCACTTAAAACAAAAACAAAAAATGTACCAGCAAATAAACTGTTTTGAGCAGCTTAGCAAAAACCTGGTGGAACTGCGAGCTTGCTGAGCTCCTAAGAGCTGCTACAAACGGCATAATGAGGAGCATTGTTGGGACGACGTCCTGGAGGCAAATAACACTGCAAAAACACAAAATGTTACCAAGTATTTTTATTCTGATTTGTAGGTCAAATACTTTGGTTCGCTTGAAATAAGATACAACTTACAGTTACTTTTATTATATGGTAAAATTTTGTGGTTTTGCGCTGAGCTGAAGCTTCTTAAAGAGACAGAGCCCCAGTTTAATGGCAGAAATTTTTCTAGATAAATTTGCATCATTTTATATGATGCAAGGTCAAACATCTTTTAAGTTGTTTTAACATAATATGGAAGAAAGCTGTTTTTTTTTTCTAAAACAAAATGGCGGCACAGCTCCTTCAGAGACAGAAACAAAATAATTTGACTGAAAGAGAAAACTGTCCATCTGCATTTTAAATTACTGCTGTAAAAGCTGGTTGCATAAGCAGCTGGATGTTGCACTTAGATTTTCCCCTTGCCTGTATTTGGATAATGTACAATTTGCTGCCTTACATTTTCAACTATCAGTCAACAAGAGTTCCTCCTCCAGCCTGAAGCTGCAGAGATGAATGGCTTGTTGCCTGAGGCGCTGACAGGAATTAAAAACATTTTCAACATTCTTCATCAACACACCTCTCCAGAAACAGTCTCACTCTGTTTCTTCAGTCTTTTTAGCTGCGCGACACAGAATTCACTCAGTTAAAGTTGAGACAAGATTTTCTGCTGAAGGAACGGCTAAAAAAAGGAAGAAAAGATTAGTCCAAGTAGAAAAATTGCTGTTCCTTGCAAAACAAGCGTGAGAATCTTAATCTGCTGAACAAACGCACCAGAAGATTCTGATTAGAGAGAAAGAGCTGAAAATATTTTATATGGAGCCCAATGGAGGACAGGGTGACATTCTTGCGCTCAGGGAGTGTTTCAAAGAAAACCGTAAAACCTACATCAATGGCACTTATATTTCCTGAAAGCAGATGCTTGTGGCTACATGTTAATGCATAAATTGTTTCTGTAGAGTGAGATATTTCCAATCAGCAGCATTTTGTTTGTCAGACTTTCAGTTGTTAGAGTGGCGCACTCTGGCAGCCGAAGAATTCCGTCACTGGATTACAGTGTAAAGCTGAAAACGGCCAAAAAATCTGCACGAAACTTAAAGCGTGATTTTAGAAAACCCGTCAGAGATATCAGTAAACTGAACCATCTGAAGTTAGATTACCTTCTTATGATTTGTTTGAAAGCTGAGTGGAGCTTCTAGGTCGAAGTAGGCAGATGTCGTAAGCTGTCAAAGAGCAGAAATGTCTGTCTGAATTTTGTGGAATTCTGAAAAATTTCAATTCATTTCAGTGAAACTGAAATTTGCATAAAAGTTTAAATATTAAAAAAAATTAAAACTGAAATTACAAAAGATATAGCAAAAGTCTCCAGAAAAAGCTGAATGTTTTATATGTAAATTGGTTAAGTCTATGGCAGCGTATTGGGGCCAACGTCTATAGATGTCTCATTTCCACCAAAAAACTCTGAAATTTTCTGGAAAAAAACCTGGAAATTCTCAGCTGTAAAAGCTGAGTTTCTAAAGTCAAAAATCTCTCAACTTTTGAAAATTATTAGAGTTTAGAAAGCTGAAGATTTTCAAAAAAGTTTACAAGTTTTTTTTTTTTTTTTTTTAAACTTGATTTTCTTTCTAGCAAATTTGTGACTTCCTTGAAAAAGCTCTAATTTTGAAATTAATCAAAAGTCAATATAAAATTTAAGGAAAATTTCAGTTTTTCCTTGCAAATTTTTCAATTTCATGAACTCTGAAATTTTCTTGTTTTTTTTTCTAGAAAATATTTTAGATTAAGCTCAAATTTCTGTTTATTTTATTTTATTTATTTATTTTTTGCACAAATTTTCTCAAAATGTAATTCAGGGTTTTTTAATCTACAATGGTCACTGTTGTTGAAGTATGCAGAAAGTTTTTTTTTTTATCCCTGTATTTATTGTTGTATTTGAACATCAACCTGGCTACAATCTCATGTACTTACATATCAATATAAATACATGAGGGACGTATTGTCTCATTTTTTAAATTGAACTTGAATGATTAAGCGCTGCACAGATGACTGAATGAAAGGAAAGAAAACCACAGTCTTCAGAAGAACAGAGTGTTTACTGCAGTCGGCTGCAGGCGATGTGCAGATGTAGATAAGATCGGTTAATCTGTGTCATCTCTTCCTGCTCTCGCTCATCTCTCAGGCTATGACTTCCCGGCGGTGCTGCGCTGGTTTGCGGAGCGGGTGGACCGCATCATCCTGCTGTTCGACGCCCACAAACTGGAGATCTCAGACGAGTTCTCGGAGGCCATCGGCGCCCTGAAGGGCAACGAGGACAAGCTGCGGGTGGTGCTGAACAAGGCCGACATGGTGGGCACCCAGCAGCTGATGCGGGTCTACGGGGCACTCATGTGGTCCCTGGGGAAAGTGTTCGGCACCCCGGAGGTCCTGCGCGTCTACATCGGCTCCTTCTGGTCGGAGCCGCTGCTGGTGCCTGATAACAGGAAGCTGTTTGAGCTGGAGGAGGAGGATCTGTTCGCCGACATCCAAAACCTCCCTCGCAATGCAGCTCTACGCAAACTCAACGACCTGGTGAAGAGGGCGCGTCTGGTCAGGGTAGGCAAACGGGAGCTTCTGTCTGAAAAACACTAAACACTGCCAAGTATTTCTGTCTAATTTATAGTGAAAATATCTAACACACTTTAGATAAGACAAAACTTTTCAGAAAGATATAGGAGCTGGTTTTAAGCAAATAATTCCTTAATAGTGATGAAAAATTACTTATAACAAAATATTTTCCCGTGTTATAAATGAAATAATCAGCCAGTGGAACTAGAACTGACGTGGAACAAGCTCATATTTCTGTTTTCTCTATAAATTAGACAAAAATACTTGGTAATATTTCGTTTTTGCATTGCTGGACTTAGCACCAATGTTTCCCCCTGAAGTAGTGAACCAACCGGGCTTCTCTTCCTGCAGGTTCATGCTCATATCATCAGCTACCTGAAGCAGGAGATGCCGTCTGTCTTCAGGAAGGACAACAAGAAGAAGCATCTCATCCATGAGCTGCCAGTGATCTTCTCTAAGATCCAGCTGCAGCACAACATTTCTGCAGGAGACTTCCCCGACTGCGCCAAGATGCAGGTCAGTCCTTAAGTTTTGCACATTTTGTCATGTTACAGCCATAAATATCAATGCATGCTGAGGGATTTTATGTGAGACACCAACAGAAATAAGTGCATAATTGTGAAGTGGAAGAAAAATTAAATACTTTGCATAATTTGGCATGACACAACCATCACTGTGTTTCTCTGATGGTGTGACAAGTGAGCCTTGATTTAAAGGAACTCTGTGTTTCTGCTGTTTTGCTGTTTTCTGGAAGCTTGTTCCAGATTAGTGTTCATTTATTTTATGGGGGACATGTCATGCAAAATTCACATTTTACTCCGCATTTTTCTGTACTTCCATTCGGGTCTCAACTGCTTCTAAAAAAATAAAACGGCCCAAGTGCTTAAAAAAACAACCCAGCTGTTTTTGGCAATAAGTTCATGTTTTTGGTGTCTGAAAAATTATCCAATTCAAAAAACTTCCAAATGTAGCGTTACAAATCAGCAGGCACTGCCCGTTACCTAGCAACCCCAGAAGCTCAGCCCATTACCTAGCAACCCCAGAAGCCCAGACCGTTACCTAGCAACCCCAGAAGCCCAGACCGTTACCTAGCAACACAAGCTGACCTCCAAGACTTTTGGTCAGCTCTGTATGCGCTATAAAAACACAAAATCTCACCAAGTATTTTTGGTCAAGTATCTAGTGTAAATATCTTAAATAAATATTTCAAGACTACTAACTTATAAGTAACTTTTCAGCAAGACATAGGAGCTTATTGTAAGTTAATAATTTCCTAATGAAGATAAAAACAGCACCAGTTCCACTGACAGATTATTTCACTTATTGTATGAGAAAAATGTCTTGTTATAAGTGAAATAATCTGCAAATGGGATTAGAACTTTTTAAAATCAATATGAAGGAATTATTGTTTTAAAACAAGCTTCTATATCTTGCTGGGAAGTTACTTGTAAGTTAGTTTTGTCTTATTCCAAGTGTATTAAAATATTTACACAAGAGACTAGAGCAAAAATACTTGGTCAGATTTTGTGTTTTTGCAGTGTGATGGCACAAAATGTGAGCGGGTTCATGCATTGTATTGTTATTCATGTCAAATTTAAACTACCAGCTAACAAATCAACGCTGCTGCTTTCTTATAGGAACAACTGATGGCTCACGATTTCACCAAGTTCAAAAGCCTGAAGCCGAACCTCATGGTGGCGCTGGACGAGCTGCTGTCCTCCGACATCGCCAAGCTGATGCCGCTGCTGCGCCAGGAGGAGCTGGAAGCCGGAGACCAGCCCGGAGTCCAGGGCGGCGCCTTCCTGGGGACCCGGGTTGGGCCCTTCACAGAGGGCGACCCATTCGCGGAGGAGAACGGCGAGGAACACGAGGAAGAGGAGGACTGGGTGGTGACCAAAGACAAGCCCAAGTACGACGAAATCTTCTACAACTTGGCGCCCAACGAGGGCAAGCTGAGCGGCACCAAGGCCAAGGACTGGATGGTGAGCACGCGTCTGCCCAACTCGGTGCTGGGCCGCATCTGGAAGCTGTCGGACGTGGACCGGGACGGCATGCTGGATGACGAGGAGTTCGCCCTGGCCAGCCATCTGATCGAGGTGAAGCTGGAGGGCCACGGTCTTCCTCCAGAGCTGCCCAGCCGGCTCATCCCGCCGTCCAAACGCAGGCAGAAGGGATCGGATGCTTAGAAACACAGCAGCAGCCCGACGGATCCCGCTGCTGGTGCAGTTTGGCTACGGTTTGTGTTGAGTCAGGGCCTTGCTAGGAAAATAAAAAAATATTGTAACAGGAATAAAGTCATGAAATTATGATTTTATTCTACAAATATTTAGACTATAGTCTAAGAAAAATATGAATATATGCTCATAATATTTCAACTTTATTCACATATTATTACGACATTTTTCTCTTAATATGACTTTTTTCTCTCGTAATATTATGACTTTTTTCTTATATTAGTTCAACTTTATTCTCATTTTATTTCGACCTTATTCAAAATAAAATTCACTTTATTCCCATAATGCTATGATTTTATTCTCATAATATTATGATTTTTTCACGTTATTTTATGACTTTATTCCCGTAATTTTATTTTTTATTTTTCCTTAGTATGGCCCTAATTCTCCGTTGTACTTATCTCCTCAACCCCATAAAAATGTTTATCTACATTGCTGTGCAAAAGATGTGCCTTCTAAAGTGTCAGACTTCCATTTTATAATTTAAATTAAGTTTTATCAACCTAACAGTGGTAACCCAAATGGGGGGTGAAGAGGGGACGGGGCCCCCATTCAAAACTGCTATCCACCTCCCTGGCCCCACCCAGAGAATCATGTTCAGGCATCATCTTCTCCAATAGAAACATATACCTAAAACTCAATAAATAAATTTATAAAATTAAGAAAATAATTTAAAAAAATAGTAATATAAGAAATACATACAAGAATATGTATCTTTTTTGTCTTTTTTTTGTTTAGCTATAACACCCTGAGGTTTTCTTGGGGTGCCACACCATTTACACTTTAAAATAGATGCAACAAGGGTATGTTGTGTCATTTGTGAAAGAAAAATACAAAAAACTAGAAATATAGCTGAAAAAAGGAAAGAGGATCTAAAATGAGAATTTAAATCAGATTAACTTAATCTTAAGTTACTTAAAATCTTTAATTACTTAAAATGTAACCATTGCAATGTGTGAAAGCTTAGCTCTGCCCCTAAGCAAATTAGGAAAGATTCCACGGAAGTGGGCGGGGCTAAGAGACAGAGGGGGTGGAGCCAAGACATAGGGGCGGAGCTCAGATACAGGGGCGTGGCTAAGAGTGTGGATGAGCAGACTGGGCTGGAAGTATCACTGTTTATTTTCTTTTTTAGGTCCCTTTAGTGACTTTTTTTCAAAATAAGTGACAAATATAGGCTTTTCTTCTGTTGTAGATTTTTATGGTGACATCGCCCTGCATCTGAAAAAAAGAACAACAAAAAATAGCCCAAGAAAGCCTTTAAATCCACTAACTAGAGTACTTTAAAAGAACAGAAAAGTCTGGCTGCATGGAGGCGAAACATAAATAAATTTTTGCACAGTGTTGTATAATTTCCTAGAGACTGACTGTACTCTGGCGCAGCTGAACGTAGTTTATTTAAGCGTAGCTTCCTGTAAGTTACCAAGTTTGGCTGCTTCCTCTCTTTCTGCTCTTGAAAACGAGCTTTTGAAAATGTTTCCACTCGTGTTTGCAGAAGGTAAACACTTTGAGAGCTCTTATTAGAAAACTATAGTCTTTAAATGTAACAGTTCGATTCTCAGTGGTAATTTCATTGTGAAGTTATTCTGCTTGGCACTGTTTTTTTCCTCACACATTTCCAGGACAAGCTTAGCTCACATGATGCATTTATAGCATTTTCTATAAAAAGAAAGCAGCTCAAATCTAATGTATTTCATGTTGAGCTTCACATGGTTTTGTGCAAACTCTATATGGTATTATTATTATTTTTTTTTTGTATTTTAACTGTTGCTTTTAATGTGCAGGAGCAGGTTGCATAAAAGAACATTACATGCTTACAAAGAAGACTGAATGACTGATAAATTACTGACTACTGTACACTGCTCCACCATTGTTTGTATGTTTACTATTATTGCAAACAAATAAAATTCCTTGACTGTGACACGTTTCTAGCAGTATTAGTGTTTTCACGTTTTTACGTAGTACACGTTTTCACGTAGTACAATTACAAACCTTAATGTATTTTCTTGTGATTTTAAGTGACAAAGCAACACAAAGTAGAGCCTGTCGGTTCCTATCCCAGAGATAATGACTCGTTTATAACAAACTTGGAAGAAATTGTCTTGACTTCCTGTTTGAAGCAGCCAATCAGACATCAGGGTGTCCTCTAATCCCGCCCACTGAGTTTGGCAGGCGAAGTTAGCAAAGGAACAAGAAATAATTTAATAAATCATAAAATATCTAGTTTTTAAAATTAAGTCAAATTTAATTTTAATTTATCTTAATTGAGGCATTTATGTTGAATTCTACAGTTTATTGTTTTTGTATTTCCAGTTATAAAATTTTTTTATTACGTATTATAATTGTTCCATGATTTATTGTGATTTGGTATTCTTCACCTTCCATATATTTGCAGCAAAAAGGTGGATATTTGCATATTTTGGTAGTAAACCGATACCAAGTAAGCAAATATTGCTGATACCGATAATAGCAGCCATTGAATAGTATAATATACTTGGAACTAAAGGTGTTTTTGTGATATTTCCATTGAATTATTTTGTTAAAACTTAGGACAGAATTTAGATAAAGACTGTCCACAAAATATAAAAGATAAACATGAACAATAGAAAGAAAAAACACATTTTGAGCACCGTTTTCTAAATAAAGTGCAAATCAAGTGAAATATTTTTTACAATGGTGTTGAGAAACTACAATGCAAAAATACAATTATCAAGACAGAATCTGGGATTTAACTATTTATATGGAGCTAAATTGGGGCCATAAAGTTTGTTCTAAAAATAAAAAAGATTCAAAACTGGAAAAAATATACAAAATTACTTTTAAGATTCAAGAACTTTTTTCTGTTTCTTTTTTTTCCATTTTGAACTAATTTTGTGGTCTCAATTTATCTCCATATATGGATCTCTTTTGGATCAATCTGCTCTCCTCTAGTTTTTTCCACTTTTTCCATTTCTGCTAGTAGATATTTGATCGGTAAACGATTCAGAAAACTACTGATCACTTTCTTTCTACTTTGCTCACATTTGTCTTCAGGTTCAGAGGGCATGAATGCTTATTATGCAAGCTGTGGACAAAGAAAGCTTTAAAATGAAGAAACTAAGAGCTGAGTGTATCTGATTTTTTTCCCCATCAGGCCTTTTCTGTCTCCTGGTGACAGGCCAGATAAACAATGACTCACACTCTCCGCTGCCAAGTCCCCGTACCACCATTTTCCAAACCGCTTTCCCACTATGGCAAGCCATTTTAACATAAAATCAGTTTACCATTATTCTCAATAATTACTTTATAGATATCTATAAATGTGTTTTTACTCGATACATTTTTACTATCCTGACTGGTAAATTATTATATCTACATTCACATTCTAAGTAAGAATAATAATTCAAAATATCTTCAGTTGCATTTTGACGATTTTTTTTCAAGACTTCATTTGAAGGGTCTCACATCCATAATTACTATCTAAGATATCTCAAATGTAAATATGATTGGTCAAAGTTACATTTTAGACATCTGAATTAAGAATTGTGCGAGTCACTGAGCTGTCCAAACAGATGCCTGCAGAATTTTACACACATTTAAGATTTCTTTAATTAGAATCGAACTGGTCAGACGTATCTTAAATTTACTTTATGACTAGTCATAATTTAATTGCCGGTTTCTAAAATATATATATGTTTCGGGTACTCAGTAATTAATTCCAAATATCTTGAATTAAAGCTTCCATACAAAGTAATGGTAAATCTGACATCATTTGTACTTGTCAGTAATCTCAAGTTGTTATTTTGTCTGGTCAAAATCTGATTAGAGATATCTTAATTTATTATGTTTATAGTCATAAAACGATTTCAGATATCTGGATTGTAAGTGCACTGTAAAACCTAGTCTAGTGCAAATATATTAGTACAGTTGAAATAAGACAAAACTAACGTACAGGTGACTTTTCAGAAAGTTAAAGGAGCTTGTATAAGTAAATAATTCCTCAATAATGATTGTTTTATTATCAGATTTTATTTTTACGTAAGACATTTTTTTCTGCATCATAAGTGAAACAATCTAAAGTGGAACTACAACTTTTTTAAAAATCGATACTTATTTAAAACAAGCTCACAAGAGCTAGTTTTGGCTTACACCAACTCTACTAAGAGATTTACGCAAGAAACTAGAGCAAAAATACTTGGTAACATTTTGTGTTTTTGCAGTGTGTGATGAGACCGATTTTATGTTATAACAGCTTGCCATAATGTGAGGCCTTTACCTCCCTCTCTCATACTGTATTAGTTCAACCTCATCTCAGCTAAGTTTTGCTCTAATGCTCTTACAGTAATGACTGGCCGTCTTGTTTTGTTTGTTTGTTTTGTTTTGTTTGTTTGTTTGGTTGGTTTAAACTTTGTAACTATGAGCAACCAGACGAGAATCCCGCGGAAAACCACGAGGATTACCGAGGTTTCCTAATGACGCTCCACTCCTGAGTGGAAACAAGCTCAAATGAGAAACAGAGGCAACCCAGCACTTTCCTCCTTTTGCTCTCTGGCTTACAGTGACTCACATGTGAAGAATGCTGTGGGCCGGTCCTGAGAGTTATTAATATCTTCTTTCCTAGGGTCTGCTAGCTCCCACTGTACCTTTATGAAAGATTTCCCTATTTGAAGGGTCTGAGTGGAAGAACACCACACCCTCCACTGTATGTTTTGAGAAGGAAAATCTGAGCTAATGTGCAAAACAAGATAAAATCCAGCAGAAACGAACCTTATATGGTCCTACCTTATTTGTGTATTTTAAGCGTGTTTAGAAAGCAGAGTGAAGGAAAATCTCCGGGGCAGTTCGAACAATGCCTGACTGAAAAGAGTCTTAAATCATTTAAAGTGCTTTATGGCCAGATCAAAACTGCAGCAACAGAGGGAGAAACAGGCAGGTTGCAGCTGATGACCCCAACAGCAGAGCTTACTCAACAAAACCGGGGTCTCCGCTCGTACGTCACGCAGCAGCGGACATGCGGGGAATTCCTCAAAGCTGCGGGGGAAGCAGAGCGGCGGCCAT